GCGGCAGAGCTCACGCTGGCCAGGCGAGGTGTCCTTCAAGGTGAGGCGCCTGTTCCTGCACCCGTATCACGAGGAGGACAGCCATGACTACGACGTGGCCTTGCTGCAGCTGGATCACCCTGTGGTATACTCCACCACTGTGCGCCCAGTCTGCCTGCCTGCGCGCTCTCATTTCTTCGAGCCAGGCCAACTCTGCTGGATCACCGGCTGGGGAGCCCTGCGAGAGGGTGGTGAGCAGGGGCAGGTGGCAGGGTCTGGGGACTGTCAGGGTCTCCCACCTCCAGGCCCTCCAGCTCTGGGATCAATGGTGCTGGGATTTGTAGGACAAAATCTGTAATATGGCCTGTGGGTCTTGCTAACTGCCCTCCTAGTTCCCCTGGAAGGCACTGGAGAACTTAAGCAGGGGGCCTAGGGGATATGCAAGGATGCCACGCTTGCTGTATGAACCTTGGGGGAAGGGTGGGGTCAGATGGGGCTCTTCATTACTGTAGACTGAACTGAGGGGGAAAATGTCATATAAGCCACTCAGCCTTAGGGGTGGGCACTATGGCCCCATTTTATTGATGAGAACACTGAGGCTGAGTCCCTTAGTTACTGAAAGCCACCCATTCAAAAGATACAGGCAGGGACTCAGATATAAGACTGGCTGCCCTCTCTCTAGGGCCTAGAGTTTTCTGTTCTGCTGCTAGAAAGGGCATTCTTTCCTCCAGGCCTTAACTGACAGAAGCTGCCATCTCTAGAGGCTATCCCTCAGTTCTGCAAACATAGGCTTGGCTGACTTAACTACAGATTAGACTGCAATCTTGGCACATGGTGATTTACCACCTAGAAGTATGAGCAGGTGTGGTGTGGTGTGGTGCTGGAGACTGGACAAGGACCTCACATGTGCCAAGACAAGTGCTCTACCACCCTGCCACACCCAACCTCTGCAGAGATAGCTTAAAGATGGGGACGCTGAGGCTCAGAAAGGTGGCTTGGGTAACGTGGCAGTGACAAAGCAAGGGCTCCTTGCTTGGCCACTCACTCAGCAACACACATACGAACACCTACTATGTGTCAAGCATTGAGGCAGACAAGGAGGGTAAAGGTGAGAACACTCTTGGGAAAGACAGACAATGATATGAGTTACCACGGACGGGAACAGAAAACAGCCTGGGGAAGGCACCTGCCGGCATGGCATCAGGAGGAAGAGTATACAGAGGCTGGAAAGACTACTGAGTATTTCCTGGGCACCAGGTGCTCATGGTGAAGGCTCAGGTGACAGGTAGAAGGACCTGAGAATGTTAGCAGCTGCCTGCTGGATGGGAGTCAGGGTAAGTGTGGCTAGGGGAGGGCTTTAGAGCAGGTGGGCCTTGAGGGCTCCCACAGGACTCGTGGGTGAGAAGTCCTCCCCACCCACATCTTAGAACCAAAGGGGCTTCAAAACCCCAATGTCTGGCCCTGCAGCAGACTGGAGGAATACTATGGCATAGTTCTGCAGGACAAGACCTGGGCTGGAGCAGCATCCGCTAAGGAGTTAAGAGTACAGTGAGGAGCCCGATGTGGTGGTGGCGCACACCTTTAATCCCAGCACTCAGGAGGCAGAGGCAGGTGGAGCTCTGTGAGTTTGAGGTCAGCCTGGTTTACAGATCAAGTTCCAGGACAGGCTCCAAAGCAATAGAGAAACCATGTCTCAAGTTAAGAGAGAGAGAGAGAGAGAGTACAGTGAGAGAGTGAGGACTTGCACATGTATTTGATAGCATCCCCCCTGGGGCTACAATAGAACAGAGGGAGAGCTGACCTCCAGAAAGCTCTGTCATCATGAGCCATGCAGAGGAGTCAGCAGTGACAGGGCAGAGTGGGAAGGGCTCCTGAGGATTAGGATGACCACAGTGGGGACAGATTCCTAGCCCCTTGTATTTGCTGCTGCCCTCCCTGCAGGTCCCAGTAGCAGCACCCTGCAGAAGGTGGATGTGCAGCTAGTCCCCCAAGACCTGTGCAGTGAAGCCTACCGCTACCAAGTGACCCCACGCATGCTCTGTGCTGGCTACCGCAAGGGCAAGAAGGATGCCTGCCAGGTAACTACCTGTGGAGTGTGGGCTGATGGGAAGATGACAATGCCCACTTTACAGATGGGGAGCCTGAGGCCTTCAGAGGCTGGGGGGGTTGGTTGCTCATGGCTGCAGAGGCACACAGCACACCTTGGGGTGGGAGGCTCCGCTCCTTGATATCCTGAGACTTTGAGCCTGGAGTCATATAAAGGAGGACTGAAGGAAGTCATGCATCTCCACTCCTCTTTTAGGGTGACTCTGGAGGTCCACTAGTTTGCAGGGAGCCCAGTGGTCGCTGGTTCCTGGCAGGGTTGGTTAGCTGGGGCCTGGGCTGTGGCCGACCCAACTTCTTCGGCGTCTACACTCGTGTCACACGTGTGATTACCTGGATCCAGCAGGTGCTGACCTGAGGGGCTGTTCTACAGAGCTGGACCTGCCTCCGGCCCAAGTTCAGGGCAACCACCCAGCCAGGGCACAAGTATTCTGGGGCAAGTGACCCTGAGGCCTGTTCCCTCTGGCCTACCCCAGTGACAGCACAGAGAAGGAATGCCAGCTGGTGGCCAGGGTGTCTCCTGAGACTCAGGGTCCAGCCTCATTCTAATTATCTCCTCTCTTCCCTCTTCTACCATTGTTTTGGGGTGGGGTCTGGTGGCAATGATACTGGTTCCCAGTTTCTGGAAGAAAGCCACTTGGAGGGAACTGGCTCAGAGAGCAGATTCCAACCTGTGAGGCCCCCTGTGTGCATTGGATGGGTGTGAGGAAGGTGTGTCTACCAAGGGAAACCCTCAGAGCCCTTGAGACTGCCAAGTGGACCACATTGTAAGCCAAACCATGGGGTAGCCCCAACTGCAGGTGCCTGCTGCAGCTCTGCCTGCTACAGGGCCCTCCCTGCCATTCACTGGAGGCCCGCCATCTGTTGTGAAAATAAAGCAGTTGACCAAGCCCTAATTGCTGGTATCTGAGTGTCCCCATACATCTTATGCTTTTACTGAACAGATGTGCTGCTGGCTTAGCCCTTGTGACATGTGAAGAGGCCACTGTGCAGAGCTGTGGGAGGTGGGATTTTCTGGAAGGAAGGAAAGAGCAAAGGGTATATTGCCCCAGATAGTGGGGCATACAAGGAACAGCAAGCTGGGTACAGCCAAGACAGAGGGGGCTGCAGGGAGGTGAGACCCAAGAATGAGCAGAGGACTGGGGACTATGGGAGCCATGGCAAGCTGCAAAGCAGTCACCTCACATTTTACAGCCAGCACCCACACCATGTTGGGGAAGCTGGAGGCAGGTGAAGGGAGATGAAGTCCAGAGAGGGGGCAGAGATGGTTGGAGCAAGAGATGGAGACTAGCTGGAAGATTTAGGACACAGGGGCATCCCCTGGAGACAGTGGTGACAAGTGTCATGTTGCACAGAGCTCTGGAACTGACAAGGAGTGCAGGGGAAAGGGGGAAGGCTGGTCAGGAAGCAGTGGGAGGGGCTGGATTCTGCTAGGAAGGGATGGGGCCAGGCAGGCAGGCAGGGCCTCCAGAGCTCGTGAGTAAGGCCCAGAAGGGCCACATGCCAGCCCTTCTTCAAATGCCTAGTCCTAGAGGGCTCTGCTAAAATAGGGGCCCCACCTATTCTGTATTAACCTTAAAACAGGTGGGGAAGGAGGGCCCCATCTTTTAACAAGCTGGCTCCCGAAAAGCTGGCTGGAAAAGTGAGCTCACCTTTAGGGAGTGCATGGCCTCAGGGTTGTAGTGATGTTTTCCAAGCTATGAGCTGGCACCAGGGACAGTGCTCTGACCCCTGACCTTAGTGCATCATTGCCAGGTGTGGGACACTCAGAAGCCAGCGGCTCAGCTTCACAAAGGTGGGACAAGAGGGTGAGGTAGCCCAGAGGAAGTGGAGGGGTAGCCCAGGGCTTTGGTGATAGCAGGGTTGTTGACAGGGCAAGTAGCCTGAACTCTGACTCCCAGGTACAGGACTTAGTCACACACCCAGGAGAGGACAACAGCAGGGGGCTTCAGGAAAAGCGGGTTTACCTCACCTGAGTTTAAGCCCTGTCCCCAAAAGGAGCCCAGAGAAAGAGGGAGGCAGCCAGGCCAGCCTGTTGGTTCAGGTTTATTTCATGGTAGGTGGGACACAACTGACAGATGTGTGCCCATCCCAGGGGTAAAGACATGGGAGGAGCAGCTTGCCCCTTTCACACCTGTCCCCTTCCATCACAAGTTCCTGGGCAGCCTCCTGACTCCCTAGCACATTCTGCTGCCTAACACATGGTGGCAAAGGGGAGAGCCAACCAGGGTGATGCCAATCCTGTACCTTGCTTCCTGCTTGGCTTAGTCCTTGAATTGTCCCCCACCAGTAGCTGAAGCCAGAGTGTCCCACCAGGGGGCTAGGCTAGAGTTCCCTCCCCAGAAAGGCAACATTGCAGCCCCAGACACTTAGGGCTCCGGGAACCCCATTCCTCCCTGACCCTCACCTGTGAGGTGGGAGGAGGGTTGCCATGGAGACAGAGGCTCAAGGAGGTGCTATGACTGGGCTGGGAGGGAGTGTATCCGCCATGCAGCAAGGGGACCCAGGCGAGGGGACAAAGGGGCCTGGGAGATACGGGTGGGCAGTGCCACACCTCGGCCATGGGCAGGTGACTCTGCCTGGAGACCCCAGGGCCAACCTCAGGCCTTCCAAGGTCCCAGAGGGCCCCAGGCCTGGGCCTGGAGGCAGGGTTGAGTCCCAGCCCGGCAGATGCAGGCAGCAGTGACTAGGGAGAGGGCAAGTCTTCCTCCTCGGGCCAGGGGCCCACCCCGTGGTACAAAAATAAAGGATTTCAGATCGGAACCCCAAGTCCCTGGAGGTGATCTGGGGGCTCACATCCGGGTGCCTCTGGCTTGTAATAGCTAGAAAATAAGAGAGGGGAGGGACAGAAGGAAGAGGAGAGGGGGTCGGGGGTTAGAAAACCAGGGTGGGGTAAGGACAGGGTGATGCCAGGAAAGTTGGGGGAGTGGGAGAGGGAGGGAGAGAGGGAGAGAGAAAGGCAAGTGAGTCCCAGGCTGGCTCTGGAGAAGGGGTGGGGCTGAGGCCCAAAGAAGGCGGAGTCAGGACCGAGGAGGGGAGAAACTGCCAGTCTTGGGCTGGTGGTGGCAGCCTGGTTGGGGAGGGGAGGGGTAGGAGGAGCAGATCGCTGCTTTCCCAGGCAGAAAGGGGCCACCGGAAGCAGCTATCCAACCCATCTTAGAATTCAGCTGTGGCCCAGAGAGAGGCAGTGACTTGCCCAAGGTCACACAGGGAGATCAGTCTGACTGGGGGCTATTGTCACCCCTATCAGAGACCGGGTCTTTTCCTGCCACGCTCCAATCCTTGGCAGGCTCTTGTCAACTCATTAGCAAAGGCTCACCACATGTGGCCTGGCACCCACTCCACAGAACTAGGGGACATAGTACCCACATGCAGTGGTGCACGAGCTTCTAGACATGCGTGATGGGGCGGAGGCACAAGACTAGTCCTCCCCTCCCCAGCCTGGCTCCTTACTACTACTACAGGCAGGCAGGCACAAGTCTCCACCTCTGGACTTTTTTTCAGTTCTCAGGGCCTCGCCCCAAGGCCCAGAGAAGTTGAGAGACTTTGGTGGGTGGTGAGAATCAGCCAAAAGCTCGGCTCAAGTCCAAGGACAAGATATGAGGACCCTCCTTGCTTCCGCCCCTCCCTCCAGCTCTGCCAGGCTACAAACCCGGGGCGGCAGCTCTGGGGGCGGGCGCGGGGCCGAGGAGCTCTCACAGCAAGCTCAGGCTTGGGTCTGGGAGGGTGCGGACAGGGACCTGCAAGGAGGAAACGTGAGGAGGCAAGCGGGAAGAGTGGGGCCTGTGGCCAAGGCCAGCCTCAGAGGTGCCCTGCTGGGTTGGAGGACACAGAGCAGATACGGCCACGCCCCTCCTCCCCAGGCCAGGAGGCAGAAGGGGCCGAAAGGGGCGCAGGAGGCGGCAGGCAGGATGCTTGGGGATGCAGGGCCAGGGGGCCCGGGGAGAGGGCACGGGAGACTGGGACTAGAGCAGCCCCAGGGTGGAGACGGGAGCAGGCGGAGAGGAAACCTGGGCAGGGGCAGAGAGGGAAGAGGCAGGGTGCAGATGAGATCCAGGAGGAAGAGGAGGTGGATGAAGATGAAGCAGGACCTCCAGCAGGAAGCGGAGGAGGAGGAGGCGGTGGTGGGAGGGAGAAAAGGTTAGCGGGATCCTGAGATGACAGGGCTGCAAGAGAAAGTGAGAGAGGGATGGTTATGGGCGAGGCGCCAGGCGCTGAGCTAACCCTGGTGGCCCGCCCCCGCAGTTCCCGGCGGCAGCTGCTCCAGCAGGGAGAGGGCGGGAGGCCCGGGCTGTCATTAGCAATCGTCCTCTTGGGGGCGGGCTGCACCTTTCTCCTGGGCATCCGCCTCCACCTGCACCTGGGCCACCTCCACCTCCTCCACCTCCTGCCGCCGCCGCTCCTCCAGCTGCTCGTCCGTGCTCTGCGAACCCGCCGCCGACCAGGGAAGAGAGAGTGGAGACGCTGACGAGGGGGCGGGGCTGCGGGCGGCTTGTCCGCAGGGACCCCCGACCTCAGGACAGAGGGGCAGGCGGGATGAAAGGGACCTCTGAGAAAGGGAAGGCTAGCTACAGCCAAAGCAGCTGGTGCGGCTTCCCTACTCCAGAGAGCTTGCTTAAAGACTAGCCAGGCTGCTGCTGCAGAGCCAGGCTACGGGGAGGGCTGAAAGAGAAGCCAGTGGGCTCCTGGAAAGGTCTTACTTTGGGAGGATGGATCCAGAGCAGGAAGTCAAAGTTGTCCCAGGGCAGTCACCAGCCAGATCTAGATGCCAGCAACAGTGTCTGGCAGGCTGGGCCAGGTTGGTGACAGAGGGAGGCAGAGCAGCAGGGTACCCTGCACTCTTGCAGGGAGGAGCCAGCCACTGGCATGGGGAGGGGGCGGGTGGCAAGGGGATCACAGCAGGCCTGGGTGGTGACACACAGGAAGCCAGAGTTCCTAAGACTCCTGCACATGGGCACAGCTCCCACCTTCCCAACCGGGATCATGCCTATTGTGTGGGCCCTATTGCAGGCCCAAGGGTACTGGACCTTACTCAATTCTTCCCCACAGGCTGGCTGCAAACTGAGCCCTTTGGAGCAAGCTGCCATGGCCAGAGCCCACAGGGCTCCTGATGCCATTGAGAGAGGCTACCCAAAAGGCCTGTGGGAGGGTAGGACTGTGGGATTTCCCCATCCTGACCTAGGCTGACACTAGACAGTCACTAACTAGTCCCTGGGAAATAAACCAACAGGCGGGAACCCAGGAATTCCAGCCTGGAATCTCCAAAGGGCTCAGGACCCAACTCTTCCTTCACAGAGAATTCAGCAAAGTTGTAAGAAGAGAGACTTGCCCAAGGTCATACAGAGCAGCATGCCACACTTTGGCCCCTAGTTCAGCGTGCTCTGCCTCATGCCTGTCCATGTGGCCTCGTGAATGAGACATCAAGCCTACCCTGTCTGTGCCCTTGGAATGGTGCTGCCTGACTGATCCCCAGCCTGGGCCAGTGGTGTGAGCTGACTGGACAGCAGAGGCATGGGATGGATGGCGTTGGCTGTGACCATGACCATGAACATTATGTGGGTGTAGCAGGAGGGAGGACGTGGCAGCAGAATGGGGGAGAGGTGCTGTCTTTACACAGGGCAGGGACTCACCTTGGTCTTACGGCTAGTCTCTGAGCTTAGGCCGTGTGGGGAGCTGTGGAGTTCCTTAGACACAACACACAGGAACTCGGCCTGGTCCTCGCTGCCGTAGTTGTAGGAGGAACCGATGTTCACCAGCTGGGGAAGGGTAGGACTCATCACCCTCCCTGCCAGCAGAGGGCAAGAGAGATGGTAGTCTACTGGAGGGCCCCTGCTGACAAGAGGCAGGCCAGGGACCAAGCCCAGGAGCCCTCCATATCCTCCCTGGGGTCCAACAAATTTGCTCACATCATTTCTAGGTTTTCTGAGACAGGGCCTCAAACTCACTATGCAGTTGAGGGTAAACTTGACTTCCTGCCTCTACCTCCTGAGTGTAGCTGTGGCTCTCCTAATAGTGGGTGTGGCACTGGCACTGATACATGGAGTCCTATCCAAAACTAGAACCTTGCCTGACAGCTCTTCTCAGTTTTACAAAGGCCTTGAGAAGGAGGTACTGCCAGCTCACATCCCAGGATGCAGAGGCTGGGAGAGGATGCTCAGGTAGTAGGAGTGACAGAGGGCAGGGCTGGAAGAGAGGGTGGCCTCCCATCCTAGCTGGCTGGTTGGTCTTCCTCACAATGGCTATCCTAGAATCTTAGCCTTCTCCTCCAGCTTCCCTGTGGGAAGGTGCATAGGAAAGTAGCTCAGTTCATCTCTTGTTCTCAGGGCAGATTGGACCTTGGGTTCATTTTGAGAGAAACCCAGCAGGCAGAGTGCGGCCTTGTGGCTGATAAGAGGAGTCTCCTGTGGTGAACCACATAAGGCCTGGAAGCATGTATGTATGGTCATACTCATACCCTGGGAAGCCGCCACTTGGGGCTTCCAGGAAAGGGGGATGCTTATGGCTGTGCAAGTCATGAGACCCTGGAGGTCAGGGCCAGGGTCTGGCAAGGATTCCACTCACCTCCGGTTCTGGTCTCCTACACCTGAGCTGTCCCTAAGGACAGAGACTGGCTGCTGTGCAGACCCTCAGTGACTAGGATGCCCAAGGGCAAGGGCTCCCTGCCTCTGTCTCAGTCCACCTGTGCCTAGCAGGCACTTTTCTAGTCTTGCTTAGTCCCATTCAAGAAGAGTCTGGGTTTGGGCTGGGGGAGGGACTGGAGGCTGAGACTGTGAAAAGGACAAACTTAGGGTGTCCCTTGTACCCAGCCCACCTGCTCGAAGCGCCAGCCGTCAGACATAGTGGAGACCATCTGTGTGAGCTCCTCCTCCTGGCACTGCAGTACACGGTACACATGTTTGGGCGGCACCTATGGGTGAAAGGGTCACATGGAGGGTACTTCTAAGGGTACCAGGCTCCCAGCTGCTTTATCCTGCATTGTATAACCCTAGATGGAGGGCGGGACAGTTAAAACAGGAAGGAGGGAGCCATGTTCAGAATACCTACTATGTGCCAGATGCTTCCCATTCAGGGTTCACTACTTCTGAGACCCTTGTGTCTTATGGAATCCTATACTGAGGCTCTCAGAGAGGCTCAGTTACTTGCTCAGGGTTATCAGCTCAAACGTACCAGAGCCATGTGTGGAATATGGGTGACACAAGAGGAAAGCAGGGTAAGGTTTGGGGAGACATTCTGGGTTATCAGTCAAGTTATGCCCTCACCTCTTTGGCCTCTGTGGCTAAGACTGGGGATGGAGCTCTGATATGCCAGTCCCAATAGCTCATATGTACCTACAAGGGGACTGCTTGAATCCATGAAGTAGACATTTACTCATCTTGCATGGCCTTGGACAGTGGTGGGTGGATGATTGTACTGCTACTGGCATCCTCTGTGAACAAGGGTAGCTAGGCAACTTTGAGCATCTCTACTTTCCACACAGGAAAACATAAGGGCATAAGAATCTTTGGTCAGTCAGGGGCAGAACCCTAGCTATATATCTCTGGGCTGGGGCTGTGCTAAGCAGCCTGGGAGGCCTCCCTCTTGCCCCTCACCATTCCCCCAATCCCTTCCCACCACTGGTCCTGCCTCCTTCTCCAAACCTGGGTCACTGTGTAGTCTTTCTCTTCCATCCTGTCTTTGATGATTCTGATCAGGGGACCAATGTTATAGAATTCAGCTTCTTCCAGGACTCCTAGAACACAGAGCAGCTTGTCATCTCTACTGTCTCCATGCCCCATTCTCCTTGTCACATTCCTAGATAGGGTCTATAAGTTCAGGGCCAAGAAAGAGGAAACATTTCAAGTCTAGGGATTTTCTCAGTTGGTACAGTGCTTACCTAGCATGCACAAAACCATGGGTTTGGTCCTCAGCACTGCACAAATTGGGTGATAATGAACACTAGTAATCCTAGCACTTGGGAGGTAGAGGCAGGAGGATCAGATGTTCAAGGACAGCCTTGGCAACATAACAAGTTTGAGCTAGACTAGGCTTTATGAGATCTGGTCCAATCCAAACAAAAGGGAACATTTTTCCTTGGTCCCCACATAGGAGGCTGAGATTCCACTCTTCAGCAAGTCCTGTCTCTTGTGTTTTGATGAGCATGTGACCCAAGACTACCTGGTGAACCTGGGGCTCATTGGGACTGTGCCCTAGAATATGACAAGGAGGGCCTAGGCTACCTACTGTGTGCCCCCATTTATCAAACACGGGCTAAGTACCAGGCCTGTGCTGGGAATATCCCACTGTCAGAACTAGAACTGAGCACTTTTATTATGTCCACTGAACAACTGGGGAAACTGAGGCCAAGAGAGAAACAGCTTATCCAAGATCACATGGTTGTAAGTCACAGAACCAAGGCAAGCTCCACCCTTAGAGCTCTGAACCCCTCACTAGAAGTAAGTAAGCTTTTGGATACCCCCAGCTACCACTCATAACTGTTAGTAAAGCTCTTGTGAGTCCATCAGAGGTCCTGGAACATGAGGGAAGCAGGTGTCACTGTCTGTTGTGTTACAGACACACAAGATCAAGTAGATCCACTTCCAGATCGAGTCAATCTCTCCTCCCACTTGCTGAAGTACAGAGAGCTCCCAAGAGTCTGGACTACAGAAGTCCCTGCAAGGCTGCTGAACTCTCTAGGGACAGGAACCATCACAGATTGAACCTTTGAAACCTCACTGCCATGTGACGGAGGGATTCTGACCAGTGGGAGGTGAAGAGCGATAAAGATGGAAACTTGAGGAAGTCCGACCTCTGAAAGAAGAGACTGGTGGCCAATGAATCCCTGAGGGCTGTCTGTGTGAAGTACACAGTGGATGTTGGCAGCAGGGAAAAGCGCAGGTCAATAGCCCCTAGGCTAACACACTGACCCCAATCCCAGCCTGCAGAGTGGGTGGGGTCAACGGCTGTTGTCATAGTCCCCTGGCCTCTGGTACTTCCTTACAGCAGTTGGATCCGTGACAGGGTCATTCTGATATCTGTTGGTGCTCAACCAATACATGCTGGAAGGAAGAGTCAGCAAGGACCACTGCCTGAGTGACAGAAATCTCCCAGGCCCTGGCTGAGAGAAACGGCGACAGCTATCCAACCCTAAGCTGCGTACCCCAGGCGAGGCCACTTCCTACTGTGGGAAACTTCCTTCTACATTCCCATTGCTTAGTGTGGTAGGTGCAACTGTCACTACTTCATAGACCCAGAGAGGTTAACCAACCTTTCTACTGTCACGTGGTAAACTTCCTCCTGAAATCCATCTCTCAGATATTTCTACACCCCGCCTGAAGATATGAGCAAGAGCACCAGAGCTCTGAAGAGCCAGAACTTGTAAACAGGTGTGTGCTGTGATGCAGCTGGAGTATGAGCCTCCCAGAGGGACCTGCTCCTGAGCCCAGGCCCCACCCACGTGATCGCTTCCCCTTGGACTGCCGGGCAGCCAGCTGTAGACCAGGCACAGTGAGCTACCTACAGTGAGCTCTGAGCGTGATGATCACCTGACCTTTGGAGGCTCTTCAGATCACTGCACCTGTTGGGGTCAGCCAGCAAAGATCACTTACTAGAACAAGGGCTGGGTGAAACACCACAGATCCACAGAACTCATCTACAGTCCCAACACATTCTTCCAAATGTGGGTCATGATGCCCATATTGTAGGCACCAGTGGAGACCAGAGAAGACTATCCGTCCAAGCTGGCCTGGCCTGATGCAGAGCTATACTCAAGTGTACAGAGGAGAGCTGGTTTGAGGATGTCTGTAGTCCCTGCCTCTGGCCTATTCTTCACACTGCTTCCATGTCAGTTTGGCCCAGATATGATCCTCCACAGGCCTGGGAAGAACAGCAGCCCTGCCAGGAACATCACCCTGCAGCCGGCTTTGGGAACTTCATGAATTGGCTGATGGCAAGCGTCTGCCTGGGAGGCACAGAATAAGGCAAAGAAGGACCCAGTTCTCCTCACATCCAGCCTGGAGCATCACAGGCTACATTAGGCCTTCCTGAAGGCCTGGGAGAAAGGTCATTCCCAAAAGGCAGAAGCCCCAGGGCCTCTTGACCCTCTTCCTGCTCCCATCTCACTTACCCAACAGCACTCAGTGACAGCTTGGGCCTGTCAGCTTGGCAGAGACCTGGAGAATGGGACCCCACTCCAGGGGAAAAATAATGAGGAAAAGTAGATACCACCCTGACTCCAAGAATGACTTTAGGAATCCCCAGATGGCTCTGGCCTGCTCCAGAGAGCCCCAGACCAGCCCAATGAACCCACTCACCCTCCTCAGCCATGTCCTTGTCCAGCACCAGTTTGCCATGCCTGAGGAAGTTCAATATGGGCCCGAAGTAGGTGGGGTCACGGTCAATGAGGTAGGCCCCGGTCTCATCCTGTGGAGATGACCACAAGATGTGAGAGGTGTGCAAGCCACCCCAAGTGTAGCCCCCACACATAAGCTCAACTGATCACAGGCTGGAAAAGGACAGCAGGGGGAAGAAGAGGGCGGAGATGCATCGATAAGGCGCTGGGCTCCAACCCTATGTTTTCCAGACTGTGTGACCTTGAGTCAATCACCTGGCCTCTTGAGCAAGTCTTCTTTCCCCCATAATCAGAGGATTAAGTGTGAGCATAGAGTGTGACCTTACTTCTGAGAGATCCCTAGTTCAACACAGGCCTCAATGCATTTCCCTCTTGGGAAAGTTTCCCTCTTGGAAGCTATTCCCCTGAGCCAAATATCCACCAGATGTTTGCAAGTTTCCAAAGGAGCTTTCTGATTGGACACTTGCAGCCTGCAGGGAGGACCCCCTGAAGAAGCAGAGGACTTGCCCAAGGACATAGTGTGAGAGGGCCACAGAATGCGGGCCAAGGGACTTTGACAAGCCAACTCCAGAGGCCTTGCACACGAGGAGGCCAAAGTCAGAGCAGGAGAATCCATCCCACTCCCCACTCCTCCCAGATCATTCTGGAAGTTGGCAGGAGAACAGTGAGCTCACAAGTGGTATCTGCTAGGCCAGGGCTCTTCCTTACATTAAGCCCATCTCCAAGGCATCCAGGCCTCCTCCACCCTGTTCCCTGCACCCCTCAGCTGCCCACACCTCAAGGGCGGGGAGAACCAGCAGCATCAACTCCAACCGCTGGAGTCAGCCAGGGCAACAAGGCAGGCCGGGCTTGTAGGTCCCTCAGCACCGCCCCACAAGCAAGGGAGCGTCCCGGATCCAGGGCAGCGCTCCAAGGCTCCAAATGGCCGCGGCCGGTGCTGTCCCGTTGCCACGGAAATGGGCACAGCGATACCTCTCAGCTTCCTCCCTCTCCTCCTGCCTGGGCTTCCCGCCTCGGGATTCAACGAATGCTGCGTCGCCCAGGTCGGAGGCCGAGGGACGCGCAGGCCGGACAGCCCCTTAGCACGGAACCCGGACGCCACTATCAGCGGGCTCACCCGGTCAGACTGCAGCTCTTCGCCTTGGCACAGGCGGCTGAGGAAGGACTTCTGCTCCCGGCACAGCGTCTGGCGGGTGGTCAGGAACACCGTGCCCCCCACGTTCAGCCGCACCCACTTGCCCCAGCCGCCCCCGGCGCGGCTGCCCGCCCCTGCCGGTGGCGCTGCCTCCCCGGCCTCCATCCTCATCGCCAGCTGCGGTGTCTGCATCCGCCCCTCCGCTCGCTGCGGGCGGGTACCAGGCGCGGGGTATGTCGGGAGCTGTAGTCTGGAGCCAGGGTTGGGATGCTCTGCGCCTGTCCTGGTGTGGCTGGGACAGCAGATCTCGCCCCACATTACCTTTCTTGCTGGACACCTCGTCTCTCCTTTTGGCCAGATTGCTTGATTTGCACAAGGCCTGGGCCCTGGGAAAATAGCGATCGTCTATCGGCTATTCTCCCCATTTGTTCTTTGTGCTGGGGGGTGGGGTGGGGGTGGGGACTCAGCTGAGGAATGCCTGACCTGAAAAGAACTTCCAGAGATTCCTATATTTACCTACACCTACTTTTTAATAGGTGCGTGTGAATGTATGTGTGTGCATATGCATGTGCGTGTGTTGCTGGGGATGGAACCCAGGATCTCTGGTATGCTAAACCACATCAGCAATATTTCTTTTTGCCCCATGTGTGGTGAGGATCACAGGGATGACAATGAGTCACCTCCATCTCCTAAATTGTTTGAGGACATCTAGTTGGATTTAGGGCTGTCTGAACATTTCTGTGTGACAGAAAGCTGTGTGGACATATATATTACTCATTTAGGCTCCTGGTAGCCCTGCCAGGTTGGTCCCACCAAGACAGTGGTACAAATGGGGCTACAAAAGTAAAGACACAGCGATACATTTCCATACAAGTCTGTTTCCTCTGTCCTTTCCAGGGTTGTCAAGGATCAGGTCAGGGCTCCCACACTAAGCCCAGGCCTCCTCCACCCAGCTCCCTGCACCTCTCAGCTGCCCACACCCCAAGGGCAAGCAGAAGCAGACATACCAACTTCTTTCTCAGTTGCAGTCAGCCTGGATAGCAGGGCTTAGGAGGTTGAGAGGGGGGTATGAAGGCAGCCCTGGTTTGTTGGGGCTTGTGGGGCTGATCACAATAACCACTGGTTTGCAGGGATGGAGAGAAGGGAGGAGTGGATCATGTGGGATTAAGAACAGAGATAAGTCTGCAGGGACAAGAGCCAGAGTGCTCTAGATGCGAGTCTTGGGCTACTCTGAAGGAAACAGAGTCTGCCTAAGGAGTGGACCTACAGGAGATGATGTTCAGATACTGGCTTCCCTGATGCTGCCTACTTCCATAAATATGATAGAACTTAATCATGGAGGTGAGGCACCTGGTAGCCTTCTCATGTCTGTTTGCAAGATAGGGAAAGGGAAGTTGTGGAATACCCCCATCCCCCTTCCCCAGATACCTTGCCCAGTACTTGAGGAGTATGGGCTGTGCAACAGGCCCGTTGAGCACCAAGAAGGAATGGCCTTGGGGTGATGTTTTGGGACCATCACTCTGGTATTGGTGTTCCAGAGGATTATTGAGATGGGAAAATGGATGGGAAGGCAAAAAGGTGGAGAAGCTGTTGTAGAGATGTGGTATCTGCTGCCTCCCACCCACACTGTTCAGCGGGCTCCCAAGGACAGGTGTCCCTTTTAGGACAACACAGCAGGTAGCCAAAGTACCAAACACTGGACATGACTCAGGGAATGGCCTGGTTTCACTTTCTGTTGCTGTGATACAGCATCCTGCCAAAAGCCAACTCAGGAGGAAAATGGTTTTTTTGGCTCACAATTCCAGGTCATAGCTCTTTGTTGCAGGCAAGTCAAGGAGGCAGAACTTGATGCAGCTCATCTAATCCTCAGTCAAGGACAGAGAGAAAATGAATGTGTGGATGCTCTGCTCACTTTCTCTACCCTTACACAGTCCAGGACCCAAACCCAGGGAATGGTACCACCCAGAGAGGGCTGGGTCTTCCCACATCAGTGAATGTAATAAGACAATCTCCTACAGACATGCTTAAAGGCCAACCTGATTTAGAAACATCTTCATTGACTGTCTTCATGGATTCTAGACAACTGAAACTCACCATCATCCCTGGGAAGGTGAGTGGAGCAAACCCCTTATAAGGTTGGGGATCAGGTCTTCCTCCTCTAGCCAGGGTCCTGTTATCAGTGCCTGACCATTGATACCAAAAGCATTTAGCAAAGTTCTCAGAACCATGCTCCAGGCATTCTCTCACAACAATAGTGATGACATCAGCCACAAGAGCAGCAGGTACTATTCACTGGAAGCTTTTCCTGGTTCAGGTGGTACCCACACATGGGCTAGCATCATTCTGGGGCTCAAGGACACAGATCCTACTTCTCTGTGCCTATCTTATGTCGGAAAATGAGGCCCAGAGGTCATGGGCTCTTCCCAGTCAGTGTTGGAAAAGGCTATAGAGAGCAGAGCCAGCCTCGGAGTTTTGTCTCACCAACTCAGAAACCATCCCACCCTTCTGCCTCCATGGATCCTATGTCAACCCTGAAGTGGCAGTCTTAAGGCCACACCACAGGTGAACAGACCACAGTCCACACAGCTGGTCCGAGCAGGCAACCTGAGCCCAGCATTATCCTCATCTGTCTCCAATTCTGGAGGTGTCAGGTGAGTCCCAAGAAAGAGAAAGGCTGGCCTCCAATTTTTCCTACTTCAGAGTTCCTATCTCTTTGGACACATAGAACCCCTTCAAACAGATACCTAAAGTTCTCTCCGTGAATCAATGTTTCATTACTGTGACAAAATAACCTGAGTAAAATAACTTAAAAGAAGAAAGTTGTTATGTTTTGTTCATATTTTCCAAGGTTTACTGACTTTTTAGGGTCATGGGCGGGTGCAGTACCAGGGATTGATACTAGGGTCTGCTCACCTCATGACAGTAAAGAAGAAGGGAGGATAAAGAAGAGAGAGTGAGAGAGAGAGAGAGAGAGAGGATACTACAGAAACTAAAGATAACATCTACTATTCCACTGGGTGTGGAGGCACACACCTTTAATCCCAGCACTCAGGAGGCAGAAATAGGTGGATCTCTGAGTTCAAGGCCAGCCTGGTATACAGAGTGAGTTCCAGGACAGTCAGGGTTACACAGAGAAACCCTATCTTGAAAAACAAGACAAAGAAAGATCTACTATTCCAAGGCACGACCTACTTCCTCCAACTAGGCCCTACCTCTGAAGAAACCATTCAGCTTGGAACTCATTAGTGGGTTAATCCATTGATAATGCTAGTGGCTTCATATGCTAATCACCTCCAATGGTGTCCCAGCTGAAGACTAAGTCTTCACATATGAACTGGGTGAAGTCACTTCATTTAAACCACAACTCATCTGAAGTGGTACCGTCGTCACCAGTGAGGGTCACAGCCAGAGCCAGGTAACAAGATCCAAGGCCCCTAAATGGCCCACGGCTGCCATTACATTCCTTCCTGTGTCTGGGCTTGTCTGGCCCTTTTTGGGTTGAAAAGCAAGGTGTACTAGGGGGATCTTCACCTGACTCTGGAAAGGCCCTTAGTCCTCTCCAAATGACACTCATGTGTCACTGGGTTTGTTGAGCACCTACTGTGTGCCAAGATTGAAACCTGGAGATGAAGATGTCAGAGGTAGACCCTGTCTTCCAGAAGGGCTTTCTTGGCTCCAGGAAAGTGGGTTTGAGGGGACTAGATAAAGCCCACAATCCAGGCAGCCTAACTGTAATTGTGCATAGTCATTTCTCTGTGGTTTATTTGCTTGGGGTTTTCTCATGCTTACCTCAACCTCCCTCAGAAGATAATTGGGAGACACCAAATACTTTCCAGGATGGTGACAAAGTATCAAGAGAGTTAAACCTTAATTGCTAGCTGGTTCCACTGTCCCTTGGCGGCCCTTCTGATGTTTTTCGGTAGGTCCTGATTTAGCTGAAAAGTGAGACAGGTAAGAGTAGAGGTGCAGGGGTTCAGGGGTGCAGACTTCTAAACAAGGATGCCAACCAGCAGCCCAGCTTTGAGGAAGACCTTGGAAAGGCCACACACTCCTCCCTTATTCTCCATCTTACTTACTTTGTGCATTGGCTTATGAGAAAGCAATCAGTATGCAAAGCCTAGAGGTGCATGCCCACCCTGCCACCTACACAGAGGCCAGAGAGTACAGACTTTTGTGAAGCCAGCCAGCTTGAGCCAAAGGCTACCTCACTAGCCGTGGATGAACCAGACTCCCACCCACTCCCTGCTGAGGCTGGAAAAGAAGACAGGAAGAGAGGCCACCCCTAGTCTCCAGGGCAGAGTGGCTGCCATTGTGTGCCAAGCCTCGTGGCCTAACGTGACTCTGAAGTTATTCTATGTTGGGACTCAGAATAGGCCGTGGGTTCTTGTCTGAGCACATCGTCCGTGGGTTGTCCTGTTTTTAATCATCTTCTTTTAGCAGTGCCTAGCATCTGAGTGGCTTGTGTCAGCTCTGCTGGCAGTTCTATGATGAGGATGTCATTCATTCCATTCTCCTTACCTCCAAGTTCAGAATGTCAGAACATCACAATTAGCTTCAAGCCCTTGTTTGGTTCCTCGAATCCATTCCGCCCCTGCCTTGGGGGCTGACTCTACTGCTTATCCTTGTGTGGGTGTACCTGGAAGTCAGCACCTGGTTAGTTCACCTGAGGACAGAATGGATGGAGTGGGTCAGAGAGCTCACATCTGGCTGCAGGAACTATTTCTGCTGAGCAATAGGCTTCAGAAATCTAGGGTCTGAATCTGCTCCACGGTCCCCTACTCATGACATCTGGTTAGCTAGGTCTGTGACCTCACCAAAACTCACTTTACACTATTTGCAATAATTAAGCCATGATGTTATTGCATTTTTCAGTGTCCTAATGGGTAGTAAATGTTGGCTCCCAGACTGAGCCTTGGCAGGGGCAACATCCTGGGTGTATGCATGTGTGTGTGTGTGTGTGTGTGTGTGTGCGCGCGCGCGCGTGCGCACGTGAGCGTGTGTGCGTATGTGTGGGTAGAACAGACCCACAGGCCTGAGTGTTCCTAACAATGGTGTCACCATAATTTTACCTAGAATGTTCTAGTATTTTAGTAGATGTTCACCAAGTCTGACTCAGGGGTGGGAATTTGGTTTCAGAGAAAGCCCAAGGTGGGGCACACATGTAATCCTACTACTTGGGAGGTGAGAGCAGGAAGGCTGCTGAAACCCTGTCTCAAAGTTAGATGTCTCAAAAAATAAACAGATGAATAGGTATGTAAGCAGGTAGGTAAGCAGATCAATAAAGTAGATGAGCTCTCCATGCTCCCCCTGAGTTCACAGAAAG